ATTTATTCATCTCCAACGTAACCTCATCAAGCTTTGTCTTCAAAGAGTCAATCTTGAAACCCAATTCCATTAGCTCAAGATTCTTGACACGTTCGTCAAGTTTTTGGACACAAGATTCATAAGCATCATGTGGTTTCTTCCTCTCCAACGAAATCTCTTCAAGCTTTGACTTCAAACAGTCCATCTTGGAACCAGATTCCAAGACTTCAAGATTCTTGATACGTTCCTCGAGTAGTTGGACCCGAGAACCATCATCAACATCATTTGCTTTCTTCTTCTTCTTCAAGGAAAGTTCATCAAGCTTTGACTTCAACCAGTCCAGCTTGAATCCTTCTTCAGCCAACTCACTTAACTTGGTGCAAGCGTTGCTTAGGACATTCTTGTATTCTGCTTTTACTACGTGCTCCGCGAACTTCTTTCTAACCTGCCAAAGAAAACATATTTTTCTTATTCAGCCCTATAAAGCAAGTGGTGATTATTCAAAAGTAGAACAAGAGACATTCTTTTTTAACTTACCTGAGAAGCAAAAACTTGAAAACCGTTGATATCTACGGTCTCCTTCTTCTCTGATACATCCTCGACTTCTCCATCAACAGCTTCAAGAACATTAATGTAGACTTCGATGATGAGTTTGTCATTTTCCAAAATCCCTTTCTCCTTCAACTTGCTAAGAGGTAAGGTCTTTGGGAAACTCCCTGATAGAGCCTTAGCGCAAAACAAGGTGCTTGCTTGTCCAACTGCGGAGCATAAACAAATTTAAGTTAACTTGCTTAGGTATAGTTGCTACGTCTTCATCAAGATTCAAACATGAGTTTAGGTCTATTGCATGTTGCAATAACGTCCTATCTGAGCATCAAAATTCTAAAAGAAAAATAAATAGAGTAAGGATATATAGCTTCATTACTTGATGTTCTGCAGAGCTCTTTGTCTGATTGATTCAACACAACAAAGTAAAATTTAGCACTTCGTTTCCATCCAGTTGGCAATAATGTAGGATTCGCAACGTGCAGGTATAAAGACAAGTGATTATCAGCACGATGATCTCCCTTGGGATACACGTAGAGAAACCTGAAAGAATATTAACAAAGATTAAAACCCTATTTTTTAATCAGAGTCCGATATAGATAATCGATCTTCGAGAACATGTTATTCTCTTGAAAAGTGTAACAAAAGCTCTTTAACCAAAAAAAAAAAAAGTGTAACAAAAGCTAAGTTAAAAACTTGAGATTTTTGTCGTTTTATTTACCATTCGCATCCACCACTCACGAATGTCTGAGACGTTATGTAAGATTCCTTCTTCGAGAAGTTATCTATTTCAAACCTGTAACTCGGCCTTTGATTCCACATATTTGAATCAAAACGCTTTCGTAGGTTTTGTGATTTTGATCAAAGACGATTTTTTCAGAAACTTTGGTTGATACACACATAAAAGTCCTCGATTTATAGAGAAGGCAAAAAGAAAAAGGAAAACGTTTTCAAAACCCTATCTCAATAGGAATACTTAAATTCAATAAAATAAATTAATTAACGATAATTATTCCTCTCTTCATTAAAAAAAATATAAATTTCACATATCAACGTAGATACAAAGACGAAACCTCCTTGAGATCGAAGTTTGTGTATTAGGGAATACAGTTGAGATAAGGATTAGAAGTTAAAGATATGTATCGAATATAGTTTGAAACATCAATTCCTAAGTTGAAGTCAAAATCTAGTTTTAATCTGTTTCATATAACTTTCTATGATTATCCAGATAGGCTTCTTTGTGACCCATAATTAAATATTTGAGTCACTGGGTAATTAAAATTCTGACTCTACTACTACCATTATTTCAGTACTTTGATAGC